AGATTGGGTGTTTGTGAAGCTTCAGCCATACAGGCTACAATCTGCTAGAACACACACCTATAACAAGCTATCAGCTCGGTTCTTTGGACCATACAAGGTGTTAAAACGGGTTGGAGAGGTGGCTTATACACTGGAATTGCCACAGAATTCTAAGATTCACCCCACATTTCATGTTTCTCAACTTAAGAAGAAAATTGGATCTTTGATCAGCCAAAAACACTTACCCACTACAATCACTGCACACGGGCACATTTTACTTGAACCACAATCTGTTGTTGATCGCAGGTTAGTACAGAAGAATAACAGGGCAGTCACTCAATGGCTCATCAAGTTGTTTAATGCTCCAGATGAAGATTCGACATGGGAGGATTGCGAGGATATTCAGAAACGTTTTCCAGCTTTTTGTCCTTGAGGACAAGGACATTTTAGAGGGAGGCATTGTTACCAGCTTAAATTGAAGAGTAGAATTAATTATCAAGAAGAAGGAAGAACATGCAATGGAGGGAGACGAAGGAGACATGCAGAATACCTAATCAAGAATATGATATTTGCAGAGAAGAATTACTACCAACTATTCGAAGACGCATTTCCAATACACGCTTTTATTTAGTTTTACGTTTTTATTAGTAACGAGTCCCAGCCTGCCACGTGGCCGCGTAGAAGAAGAAGAGAAGAAGCAGCTGAAGAAACGTTACTCATTATTATTATTTCAGCACTTTTATCTTTATTGTTTAGCACTTTCTAATTATAGAGTAGTATAAATAGGGTAAGTTTGAGCTAAGAGAGGCAGCTGATTTTTAGGTCAAGTCTTCTAGGTTTAGAGCTGAGTGTAGGATGATCTTGTTTCTCGAAGCTTTTCAGTGATTAAGCTTCCCGATTCAACCTTGTTTTCGTTTAATTTCTATTTCCATATATATATCAGTTTGAGTTGCTTTCACAACCTTTTTAAGAATTGCCGCCATACCGTCGAATTCTCCCTGTAATTAATCCTCCTTTCCAAATACAGTTGGTAGTTTGTCAGTTGACTATTGCAGTTTTTTTAAGCCAAACAAGTCATGCACTTGACCTGTTTGATGAAATGTCTAACAAAGTTTTGATCATTGTAGTGAATGGATGGTCCAGAGAGACTTGAGCCTGCATATCTCCATCCTAACAATTTTAACAAGGTCCCATTTTTATATTTTCTTTTTACTTTCTTGTTTGCTTGAGCCTATACTTTTTAGCAGTCGAATATTTTTTTTTTTCTCGTTCAATTTTATTTTTTCACTTGGATGATTTGTTTTGGTTTATCCAGGCATCCATGATAGATTACATTCTTGGTGTGCAATGGCACACTGAGGTATTTGTTTCATCTTTTACACTTTCAGTGGTATGAATGTGGATTAGAAACTGATGATGATTTGGCCTTTTGTGATCAAGAATCTGAAGATGAACCGGAATCATTACGCATCATGGATGGTCCACCTTGGCGGACCGCGGCTGGTGCTACTTCATATCTATCCTCTCATTCGGATTTTTAGTTTATTTTACAATGATATGTATTTGAATTTGTTTTGGTAGATTACTGAGGTAGCAGATGACATCGGTGCTGGTGTACACTTCAATCCATTTGTTTCTCACAAGCAATTTTGTTAGTAGTCTGTCATATTGAAGTTAATGTATGCAAAACCAGCTCTATCAACTTTAGAATTGAAATCAATTTCTTTATGCATGTTTTTAGTGTAGTTCTCAATTCGACGGAATATATTAAAATTGCTTTTCATTGACAGTTTAATAAAAAAAATACATAACCTTTCATACTTGAGTCCTACTTTCCGCCGTTAATTTTTATCATGTCTTTATTTTACTGGACATGGGCTTACGTACTAATTGTTCATATGTAACACCAGAGACATCTTAATGGTTCAGGTTAAAGTCATAATAGATAACTTGGAGATAGAAAAACTCAACTCCGCCGCTCTCCTTCTTTTGCCGTCAAAGTTCAGTGAGGTTTGGTTCTTTTCAGTTTCCACAATCATTTGAAGTTGAAAATTATAACAAGTAAATCAGATTTGATGTATTTTCAGGAAGAGTTATATGCCAAAATATGTAGCCTCTCATACATGGGTGATCTTCGGCAGAGGATAAAAATAAGGTAAATATGACTGACGCTCAAGCGGGAAATTCGGAAGGAGTCCTTATATGATAGCATATCAAGACTTGAGATAAATCTGCTTCTTTTCTTTCTGCTCGTCTCCACTACATATTAGAAAGTAGAATGATATATCTTTCTCATATCTGGTCCAGTTCCATAAAAAATATCCTCTCACAGTTAAGTGTTAAATTCTTTCTTGGGCTCTCTTCATTATTTCAATGATATGTTGGTTACCCATATTGATAACTTATCAATGAATTAGTAAATTTGAGAAACGGTTTTTACCTGACGATGAGCAAAACTAAGCTGCTTCTAGGCAAGGATTTATTTAGAAGATGAATATAGATAGACAAAGTTGGTGTCGAAATACCTGATGTACTTGATTTTTCAAATCAGGATTGTGGGTTGTCTAGCACTTTCCCTTCCTTTGCCACTCAGAAGCAAGATGGGAAACAAGCTCGGAGAGGAGAAAGTGTTTGATAAATCTGGTATGATCTAAGAGTTATTTGCTACGTTTTATTTTTGAATAAAAAACTTAATTACTAGTATTGTTCTAAGGTTTTAACATTTGTTTAACTACATACGCTGGTTGGTAATGTATTTCCTATAGAATGAGATTCTTGATATAGTATGTTTTAATGATTTGATCACAGCCAACAACAGGTTAACATTTCTATTGAATACTTTGTCATACAGGTCGAGCTATACGAAAAATGGTAATAAAATCAAAGGAAGAGGGTGCAGATTGCATGCGGAAGATTCTGAGAAACAAACAGGCTGTTGCTGGTCTACTGACCGCCGGTGCGGTGCAGTGCATGGATAAAATGCAAAAGGCATGGATATATATAACTGGTGGGACCTCACCTGGTTCGGTTTTGGCTCTGTCATCGGTGCTGTCATCTTTGTACTCACCGGCCAAGAAGCACAC